AATAAACAAATATTAGAAAGAAGATTCTTAATATTCTGCCACTGAAAAACAATTTTTTCAAAGACTTATTTGCCCTCATGAGAACATTACAGTGTACACATGTATTAAAATATCACCTAGTACTCCATAAGTATGTATAATTTTTACATGTCGTTTTCTTTAAAAGTATGTATAAAAACAACAAAAGTCATCTGTGGAACTGTTGTCTTCTCTCTTTGTAAAGTCCTAGTAATAAATACGCAAGTCTGAAAAGTGTTACTAACAAAATTTAGACTTACTCTATCAAAACAAAAACAATGTATTGGCAATGTAAAGTCAGTTTGCTTCTTTTTCTAAAGCCTTTACTAAGGGACACATGAAGAAAGATAGAAGAATAGTAAGAAGGAGGAGGGGAGATAAGAAAGAGGAGAGGGAAAACAAAAGAAGAAAAACAGGAGGTGCCATATGGGCACTGCTCCAGCTCCCTGCTAGGGCACACGGAAAAGCAGTGGAGCATTCTCCAAGTCCCTGGTTGCCCGCATCCACTTCCAAGATCCGAAAGAAGCTCCTGGCTCCCACCTCAGCCTGGCCCAGCCCTGGTTATTGCATAAGAATTCCTCATGCTTCATCTTTCCCTCCCCTCACGTTATAATTCTTCCTGTAAGGAAAAGAAATCATTTTGAAAAATAAAAAAACTGTTTGGTCTGACTTAAGTTTAATTGTTTCAGCAATAAAACTTCGTAAGTACAAAGAACATAAAAAAAAGTTCACAGAAACATAGAATTAAAAGATTGTTTATTTTGGTGAAAAAGAATAAAAGGTGAACCCTACCCATGTGTTTTTCAAAATGTATCTTTTCCATGAATTTCTGAGGACCTTCCAGATTTACGGCTTTCAAAATAAATTTACCTTTTGGGAAGGGCTCTGCGGGATAGTAGGCTTAGTCTCCACTTTGTTCTATATGTCCCACTTACCCCACTTCTGATGCAGCTCCCTGCTAATGAGCTGGGAAAGCAGCAGAAGAGGGCCCAAGTACTTAGGCCCCTGCACCCACACAGGAAATCCTGGTTCCTACTTTCAGACCATCTCAGCTCTGTGTAGCCATTTGAGTAGTGAACCAGCAGACGGAAGATATCGATCTAGCTCTATCTCTCTGCCTCCCCCACTAACTCTGTCTTTCAAGTAAATAAATAAATCCTTTAAAAATAAATAAATCTTTTATTCATTTTCTGTGAATTTTTTGAAAAGTACCCTTGCGTTTCTTCCATCAGAAGGCACACAGGGGTGGTTACCTTTCTTGTGGGTGTTGGCAATCACTGATGATCATAGCCTGGCTTCATTATTTACTTAGGGTTCGATTTTCCTCAACCACTATCTGATTACCCCCTGGAATAATTCCTGCAGCAAAGACAGGTTCATGATTCCCTGTTACCACTTTTTGGCAAAGTTGAGCTGGTTCCCTAGCATTCTCCAAAGGTCACCAATAAAATTATTTCTTTTAACTATCACATTTTAAATATATTGGAGTACTTCAAGCTACCGATATTCTTATTTTTTACTGTGCAGTAGAAGCAGGATTGAATTCAGCCTCCTGGCTGCAGCCTCAGTCTAACCAGGCACTGGAGAGTGAAGCAGGGTATAGCAGCACTTGCGTTCTCTCTCGTTCTCTCTCTCTCTCTGAGATGTTCAATTTCCGTAGTTTGATTTTGTTGAACCACACTCATCAATCTCACAACTTCAAAAAACAAAAAACGAAAGGGTAACACTGAGAGAAATCAGAGCCTAACTACCCACTTGGAGGTGGCTTGGAAGAGGTCAACAAAGGGATATTTAGAACAATTAAGACTTTTGACCTAAGAGAAAAAGGCTCAGAGAGATAGAACCACAGACATAGAAAACACAGAGCTATGGATGATCAAGTAGAAATAACTCGCTGCTAATTACAGCTTAGACAATGCCAAGATTTTCAAACCAAAAGCACTGGTGCAGGGTGGACTCTCTCAGTAGCAGGGCCTTTGACTCAGATACTAACTCCCAACATCCCCTTCAACCTCAACACTGACAGGAGCACAGCAGCAGGTGGGATACGCATCATCCTCATTGCAGGTGACACAACAGGAAATGATCTTAAACTGAGATGTAGGGCAAAGATCAAAGAGCTGTCTCAAGCAGAGACGGCTGTGAAATGCAGAAAAGAACTTCAAGAGCTGTGATTGCATTCTTTTGTCTTTTAAAGACTTAAATTACTAACTAAAATGTCAGCATTAACAGAGAGGAACAAAGAAATCTTCAGTTGGCTGCCTCACTCTCCAAGCAGGATGAAGCTAGGATCCAGGAGCTTCCTCTAGGTCTCCCACACCGGTACAGGAATCCAAAGACCTGGGACATCTTCTGATGTGTTCTCATGTTTTACGAGCAGGGAACCAGATGAGAAGTGGAGCACCCAGAACTTAAACTGGCACCATTGTTATTGGTACAGGCTTAGCCTTTTATGCCACAACTCAGGACCCTGTGTGTGTTCTTTGAAATAAATAGATTTATTCCCATCTTCACAAAGCAATTTAAGGACTATTCTAGTAAGATGTAGTGCAATAAAGCTAGACTTTCTCTTGAAGGAGCTTTCTTTTAAAGTGCTTTGTTCACAGTGGTCCATAGTCACTTATAAGGTTTAAGTGGCTATCTACATTCTTTTTTTAAAAAAGATTTTTTTTTAAGTAAGATAAACAGAGAGGATGAGAGACAGAGAGGAATATCTTCCATCCCTTGACTCACTCCCCAAAGTAGCCAAAATGGCTGAAACTGAGGCAATCCGAAGCCAGGAATCTGGAGCCTCTTCCAGGTCTCCCATGCAGGTACAGGGTCCCAAGGCTTTGGGCCATCCTCAACTGCTTTTCCAGGCCACAAGCAGGGAGTAGGATGGGAAGCAGGGCCACCAGGATTAGAACCAGCACCCATATGGGATCCCAGTGTGTTCAACGTGGGGACTTTAGCCACTAGGCTACCACGCCGGGCCCTATCCACATTCTTCATATTTCCTTTACTCACAGATAACATATTTAAGCTTTTGAGGACAACACAACAGGTGATCCTGAGACCCAGGAAGAGAAAAACAGAAAGATGGCAAGAGGCCTTGCCACTTCAAAAGGATGACCTTGACGAGAATAATATGTCAGAAAGACAAACTCAGTTTCTTATTGTTTTCCAAGCTGAGAACAGGAATCCCCTCACTAACTTAAGCTTGCTTCATGAGCTGTTTGGAAGACTAAACCTTGTCTAGAGCAGCACTGCCCACCCAATCTAGTCCGCTGCCTTGCACGCTCCTGTATTTGCACACCTGATAAGTACAAATTTCTAAGAGATGAAACCTCTTGTAAGAGTTCTTCCATTGAGAACCTTAAAAGGCAGGTACAACTATGTAACAAAGCCTGAGTTTATTCAGTGAGATCCTTCTCAAGCAGCTAACAAAAAGAAATTTGACGGGCCCTGCACGGTGGCGCAAGTGGTTAAGGTCCTCACCTTGCACGCCCGGGATCCCATATGGGCGCCGGTTCTAATCCTGGCAGCCCCGCTTCCCTTCCAGCTCCCTGCCTGTGGCCTGGGAAAGCAGTCGAGGACGGCCCAAAGCTTTGGGACCCTGCACCCGCGTGGGAGACCCGGAAGAGGCTCCTGGCTTCGGATTGGCATAGTATCGGCCGTTGCGCTCACTTGGGGAGTGAATCATGGGACGGAAGATCTTCCTCTCTGTCTCTCCTCTCTGTATATCTGCCTTTCCAATGAGAAAATAATAAAAATAAATCTTTAAAGAAAAAAAAGAAATTTGACTTTATTAATTCATTCTTTCAAATTCCAAAGAGGAAAAGGAAACATTTCCTTTAAGGACTCTGGAGTTCCCATTTTAATTAGCAAAACCGAGGTACAGGCTACAGAGTGAAACCTTCCACAGAAGGGGAAGTGTACTGAGGTTATGCAAATAAAGCTGCCTGGTCCTACACACTTAAAAAGGAAAGGGAAGACCATTTAACAACCTGAGCAGGAAAGAAATGGAGAAACACCCTGCCACATTATCAGATTCAAGGACGTGTGGTTTTAGACTTTCCCACACTGCAGCAATCTCCCAACAATGAAGATAATCTCAAATACTAATTTTAAACTAAAAAAAAAAATTAAATGTGCAGTGTTCCAAAATATTCCACAAATAATAAAATGTCCCACAGCCTTACAACAACCCACACTATAGTTAGAAAAGCAGAAAGCAATCCCAAGGCTCAAAAACAGAAGAAACAAGAGAAGGAAAAGCGCAGGGGAGCCAAGGAAGGGGTTTAGCAGAAAGGAATACAGAGTGCTGACTAAGACTGGGAAATCCCGATCTCCACTTCCTCTATTCTCCTCCACAGTCGTATTTTCTTGACCTTAAGTGGACATCTTTAAGTCAAAGTCAAGAGCCTTGAACTCTCTGAGCCTGGCCCAGTGGCCTAGTGGCTAAACTCCTCACCTTGCACGCACTGGGATCCCATGTAGGTGCCACTTCATGTCCCAGATGCTCCACTTCCCATCCAGCTCCCTAACTGTGATTAGAAAAGGCAGATGAGGACGGACGAAGGGTTTGGGTCCTAGAGGAGGCACCTGGCTCCTGGCTTTGGATCAGCTCATTTCTGGCCATTGTGGCCACTTGGGGAGTGAACCAGTGAATGGAGGATCTTCTCTCTGTTTCAACTTCTCTCTACAAATCTGACTTTCCAATAAAAACTAAATTAATTTTTTAAAACAGAGAATGAGAATCCTGGACTCCCTATGCTTAAGACATTTATTATTTCCAAGGGAAAACTGGAATTTCTATATGAAACCCTCCCATTAAAAGAGAAAATTATAGCAAATTAAATTTTTGCATATCTTCATTGTCTTTTATTTGCAATTCTAGAATCAGGCAGTGGCCCAAACCACAAATGGTTTGGATTCTGTATCTCAGCATATGTACATGTTATATTCACAGCCAGAGCTTTAAAAGAAAGTGGAAGCGAGAGATCCTTTTGTGGTTCATAACATGATGACTGGACTTACACATGTCTGTGTGACATGTGCCTCCCTCCAACCTTGTTACAACACTGGCATCTTACCTGTCTGACATGGAGTAAAAAAGAAAAAAAAAGTGGAAGTGAGGTACAGAGAGGCTCAGTTAGTGAAAGCTTGGTGGTTGTCTTATCTGGACCTCATTTGAACAACTGGTACTTACAGAGACTGAAGCTGTGATTGCCTGAGACTCAGCTACTTTTCTTAAGAGTAGATTACAGGCTGTCTACACTTCAAGTTAGGTGACAGCTCCATATGCACACAGAACTCTTAATTCAGTTTGACAGTCCTCTTCTCAAGCTCTCACGACTAGAAGACAGGACTCAACCCCATTCTCTCTGCTACCAACAGTCACTCCTTAGAGGTCATCTCTTCCAGTCTCAAGGACTGATGACTCCCAAATACAGACTCAGATCTCCAGGAAATCCAGACACAAAAACCCAAACAGACTGGATTTCAAACTTAGCATGTCCAAAGTGGAGTTAATTTTTTAATATTTGTTTATCTAAGAGACAGTTCTGATCCACTGATTCAATCCCCAATTAGTGAAGAGAGCCCACAGTTGGGAATGAAGCTGGGAGCACAGTCCAGATCTCTTCTGTGATACCATGAACTCAATCACTTGAGCCATCCCTGATACCCACTAGGGTCTGCATTAGCAGGAATCTGGAGTTCAAAAGCAGAGCTGGGCATTGAAGCCAGTACTCCATACAGATACCTTAAGCACCCAACCCAGAAACTATTATTCCACCCAATCCCACCTCTTACCCTGCACATACCACTTTAGAAAGCAGCCACCCATCCCAATCACCTGTGTCAGCACAGTCCTTTTATCAACTCCTGAGTCAAAATTGTCAAGTTCAACAATCCAGCTGCTTTTGGTGGGATTCCAAATGTAGGACAGACGTTTACAGGCCACTGTCTTGCTAGCAAGGGGACATGACCCACTGCAACAGCTTGGGCAATAACCTGCAAGCTATCCCATTTCTTTTGTTAAAATTTACTAATTATAAAAACTGTTTTCTATTAATATAGCTAAATATCTTCCTGTTTGTATACAGTGTGGTTTATATGCAGACATGATATGCAGATATTATTTACATCACAGAACAAAAGTCAACCTGAGAAGTATTCACTTTTAGTTTCAGGATTAGCACTTGCTTTCTTTTGGACAGATATTATTTGAGTTCAGTGAGAAATGCCAGACTCTTACTAAAGAGAAAATATAGTTGTGTCTTGCTGCAGTATGCAAAAAGTAGCATGAGTGAAATGCAACTGTAGTAGAGGCAGTGTGCTGGATTATTTTCTACCTCTGAAACTGTTCAAAAAAATATTTACTTATTTAAAAGCAGAGTTAGAAAGAGGAATAGATCTTCCATATTCCATCTACTGGTTCACTCTCCATACAGCTACAACAGCCAGGGCTGGAGCAGGCCACAGACAGCCAGGAGCCAGGAGCTTCTTCTGGCTCTCCCACGTGGGTTCAGGGACTCAAGTGGTTGGTCCATACCCTCTGCTGCTTTCCCAAGTATATTATCAGGGTCCTAGACAGGAAAGAGTGGCAGGGGCCAGAACCAGTATCCACACGGCATGCAGGCTTCATGGGCAGTGACTTCATGGGTTACGACACATAACTTTAATTTTTTATATCCTAGACCCAACTCCAAACACGTAAGTATTTCTTGGGCCCGAGAGTTGTCATACATTAACAGGTTCATGTGAGTAGGCTGTGGGACAAAATGACTTTTGGTACTTCTTACACTATCTGCCACAGAAAGATCAGACCAATAAATATAAGTAAAAATGTAATTAAAATATTTTAACAGACTGGATAAGGATGTGCATCTAGTACCAGAGGAAATGTGGTTACTTAAAGTTCTCCATCTTTTCCGAGTGCGCAGGTCATCCGTGCCTAGAGCTAAATCTTAGCTTAATTATCTATCAGCTGATGAACCCTGGTGAGTTTCCTCCTCCAGAAAGTGAGCACCCATGCCAGAGAATTCTGGGAAGATTAAATGAGAAACAAACAAACAAACAAACAAACAGGGCCAAGCTCAGAGAACAAGTCTCGTGGTTCACCCCTGAGGTAAGTGTATAGTAAGTGCAGGAGCTCTTGCTATTATTTTAATTTATTTATATTTATTTGAAAGCCAGAGAGAAGAACAGTAAGATCTCCCATCTGCTGGTTCATTCCTCAACTGCCCAGAGCTGAAGGCAGAAGCTAGGTGCTGGGAACTCACTCCAGGTCCATCACAAGCATGGCAGGGATCCAAAGACTGGAGCCACCATTGTTGTCTCCAAGAGGCTACATCAGCAGGGAGCTGGAATGGGGAGCAGAATCAGGACTCACACACAGGCACTCCAACAAGGTCTGGGGGGACCCTGAGGAGTGTTGTGACTGCTATGCCAACCACCCCTCTCAAAGACCTTTTCTGCTCTAAAGCAAAGGAAAATACCTGAACAACTCACTGACATGTCTTAATATGAAATAGAAATACCAAGACACATTATCAAGAGAAAACCAGGACAGATGCTTTTGTTTACTCAGCCTCAGGAACATTTAATTCTCCAGTGGAGTGAATTAAAACACAAATGAATTGTTAATTAACAATTTGTTTATTATTAACTAAGATTAATTAATAGTCAATCACTAATATTAAAGTCATTAAATAATTCTTAATATTAGTGATCTCCTTTACATATGTTTATAGGCAGTTGAGTATGAATTGTGAATTCAGAATAAGAGATGAGAGCAGCCAAAGACATTGAAGTACATGTGATGTTGTCATGGGGCTGGTCCCACTGGAAGTCGGCTGAAACTGCACAGTCACGTTGCCTGACTCATCTTTTCTTTTGTAGCTACTTCTGTTCCAGTACTCCTCACTCACAAGCTTACTTCTGATTCCCACTACCACTAGAAATGCTTGCAGTGCTTGATATGAAGACATTCAAACATCTTGAATTGCCAAAGCTCATTTATTTTTAGCCCATCCATAAGCCACTATCAGAGCTGCTTTTATAGATGTGGTATGTATACCCCATACAGTACAGGGTAACAACAATGATTTTCTCCAAATGTGTATGCAGAAAAGGCACGGACTATGGACACACATCAAATAGAATGGCTCTCACAGGTGCCACCAGCTGCGATTTAACCAAATCCACAGAGGACATAAGCCTCAGTTCAAGCTCATATATGACATGCACACAGGAAAATGTCAGAGGTGATCAGGTTTCAGGAATCATGGGACAAGAAGCCAGCAGCCCCCAGGCTATGAACTCTGACAATTTCAGGTCTCCAGGACAACAGATGGAAGAAACATTCAGATAGAGTGGGGTGAGTTCCACCTGCCTCAATGAACATGCGCCAGGATGTTGCTTTGCTCCCAAGCAAAGGATTAGCCTCCCCTGCCATTTCTCACACTCTCCCCTGTCTCTTACAGCTGATCCTTCAGGAGAAGGATCCCTGTCAGCCATTGATCCTCAGTTGCTGGCAAAGAAAGTCATACAGGTGAGGTCAAAGTTTAGGCCATAGGACTGGTGCGATAGCTTAGCAGTTGAAGTCCTCACCTTGAACTCACTGGGATCCCATATGAGCACCAGTTCTATCTCCCTGCTTGTGGCCTGGGAAAGCAGGCGAGGATGGCCCAAAGCCCTGGGACCCTGCACCCGTGTGGGAGACCCGCAGGAGGTTTGTGGCTCCTGGTTTCAGATTGCCTCAGCTCCAGCCGTTGCGGCTTTTTTGGGGGTGAATCATTAGACAGAAGATCTTCCTCTCTGTCTCTCCTCCTCTCTGTATATCTGCCTTTCCAATAAAAATAACCAAATCTTAACAACAAAAAAAAGAAGTTTAGGCCATAATCGCTCAACATCCAAACTGCCACAGCAGGATCTTAACTATTCCCTCCCCTGTTCCTCTGACGCACCCTGCATGTGTTTAATCTTCCTAAAATGTTTTGATCATGCTTCTCAATCTGTTAAGTGTCTCCATAAAAACACAAAAATAAAGTTTAAATCAAGGACCATCTGGAATGCATTCTGACCTCTGTGTACTTTTCCAGATCTGTCTTATTCTCTCATCTAAATCCATACATCTAAGCAGTCCTCACGGCTTCTGCTTCTCCTCCTCCCAGACCTACTCTCTAGTGTCTGGTCAGTTCCTATTCTTTTTTTTTTTTTAAATATTTACTTATTTTTACTGAAAATCAGATATATATAGAGAGGAGGAGAGACAGAGAGGAAGATCTTCTGTCCGATGATTCACTCCCCAAGTGACCACAATGGCCAGAGCTGTGCCGATCCGAAGCCAGGAGCCAGGAGCTCTTCCAGGTCTCCCATGCCGATGCAGGTTGTCCCAGACTTTTCCTGGCTTTCCCAGGCCACAAGCAGGGAGCTGGATAGGAAGTGGGGCCACAGGGATTAGAACCAGCGCCCCCACTTAAGGGATCCTGGCGCATTGAAAGTGAGAATTTAGCCACTAGGCCACTGTGCCTGGCCCAGTTCCTATTCTTAAAGGCCAGCTCAACCCCAACTCTTTCATAAAGCACTTGTCCCTTAAACACCCATTTGGAGACAGGGGACTACTGTCCATCCATTCTTTGGATTTTTGTGTTACTTCCTAATTGTGCCACTCATTTCATAAGCTGTATTTCATCCATGTGTATAATTCATTAACTTATTCAGTAAAAGCATTCGGATGACAGCTGTGAGGAGATACTCTAAATCGGATGACGTGGCCTCCAGTGAACAAACTCACCTCCAGGAGATGCCATCTCCTTCTGTACAGCAGCTCTGCCAGGTGGAGAAAATCATTTTCTCCCTGCCATGCATGCTCTCATCGCTGACACGTGTGTACTCCAAAGCATGAGAGTGATCTGGCAAAATTGTCACTTAGCCTGATATGACCAAGGCTTCCGTTTCCCATGTACTGAACATTTTGTTCACACCAACTTATACAACAACAGATGGCACTACACTGTGAATTAGCAGGACATCAGGCAAAAGTAGCTTACAGGTGTGGCTTAAATTCCAAAATTTCAAAGTGTCTTGAGTCTCTG